ATGGTTTAAGGGAAAGAGACTTTTGGTTTAAAGTAAATACACTACAGCTTTAGGGTAAAATAACTCTTTAAAAGGATTTCCTAGTATAAAGCACTACATTTCAACTCAGGATATCAAAGGTGTTGCAAATGGTATATATCATCCATGTCTACCATAAACTACAAATAGATATGTAGTTTTATGTTGCTAATAAGTGAATTTCTACATTTAGATATAATAACACTAATCTAATGCATTTTTTCGTAAAGATAGTTCATTTTATTTGAATTCAAAAGAAACTTAATAATTTTTATGTTTATTTTTTTCGTAAGAGAGTTTATAGGGTAATATTAATGAAGACAAATGCCGTCTTCGGGATATATGAGAAAAAAATATCGCATTATTTAGGCCCTCTATCTATCCCTCTCCCTCTCTTATCACCAGCTCTATCTCCTCTACCCCTCTTCCTCTCCCCTCCTTTATCATCTTCCTTTCCCTATTATTCCGAGCGCTTTACATTTTCCAACGTTACATCTGTCCTCTCCCTCTCTCTCTCCCGATACCTCCATTATATTCGCACTTTTTCAATCCCGTTCCCCCATTTTTATTCCCCTCCCTCCTCCTTCTTCCTTCCTCCACCCTCACTCTCATCTGTACTTCTATTTCCCCTCGTCTCTCTCTTTTCTATCCCCCCCCACTCGGTTTGCCTCGGTTTGCCTTCCCTTGCTACCCTTCCACCCCGTCCTTCGTATCTTTCCCTCCACTTAACCCTTTCCATCCTTAACCCTCCCACGTCTCTCCTAGCACCATTTTCACTCGATCCCCTCACTGTCCCCTCTCCCTCCCTCCCCCTCCTTATTTCCCCCTCCATTCATCCCCTCCCCACCTTTCATTCTTCCACTTCCTCCTTTATTTCCCTCCTTTCCTCCCTCCCTCCTTCCTACTACCCCTCTCCTTCTCTCTCTCTCCTTCCAATTTACCCTCCACTTAACCCCTTCCCCCTACCTCTACACCCCACCCCTCCCTCTCCCCTCTTTAAGCCCCCACCAATCACCCCACTCCCCCAACCTCTCCCCCCCCCCCCCTTTAAGCCCCCACCAGTCACCCCTCTCACCCCCCTCCCCCTCTAATCCCCCCACAAAGGTGATGGACAAAGAGGTGGGCGACATCCTGGGCGAGTGCATCCGGCCGAACTTCGTGGAGCTGCCAGAAGTGATCGAGCAGCTGCCAACGCCGGCGCTGAGGGGCCTTTGTCAGCCTCCGGACACCGACCGGGAAGACGAATCGCTCGCGGAGGAGGAGGAGGAGGCCGAAGGAGGAGGGAAGGAGGGGAAGGGAGGAGGGAAGGACGGGAAGGGAGGAGGGAAGGACGGGAAGGGAGGAGGGAAGGACGGGAAGGGAGGAGGGAAGGACGGGAAGGGAGGAGGGAAAGGAGAAAAGGGAGAAGGAAAGGCGAAAGGCGACGACGGGGCAGGAGCGACGTCGGTAAGATGATCGATGGGTTTCTTTTTTTATTTTTTTTGTGAGAGAGTATAATTGTTTTCGCTTTTTTTTGCTTGTTATTTTACTCTACTTATATCATAGTATTGCTACTGCTTTGCCCATTGGAAACAAATATCGAAAAAGAAATGAGTGAACAAATTAATAAATGAAATAGGTATATTAGTGAATGAATTTAAAAAAACTAAATAAGTAGATAAATAAATGAATAAATGAAATAGGCAGACAAATGAAAGAATACGTAAAACTTTATCTACCACATAAATAAATCCCCGAACGCTATCCCTCCCAGCCCGAGAGCAAGGAGGCGCAGCAGGCGGACGACGCGCAGGAGGGCGAGGGCGAGGAGGAAGGCCAGGAGGACGCGAAGGACGCCGGCCAAGAGGACGAGAAAGAGGACGACGTGATTTACCAGGTCATTCCTCGACAGGCGGACGAAGGAATGTATACATGGGTGAGTGGCAAGAGCTGTTGATGGGAGGGGGGACCGTCTCGGTCAGAAACGTCGTGGGCGCTTGTCGAACGCGTTTTGGACTCTTCGCGAGAATCATTGATGGGGTTCGGGGCGTTTCGAAGCTTCGTTCAAGGCGGAACTTTGTGCTGGGCTGTAACAGCTTCGAAGCTTCGTTCACAGTGGGAATTTTGTGCTATGCAGCTTGGTAATTCATTATTGCCACTGCTAATTAAGCTTCATAATATATACTAAGGATAGCGTTCCTCTATATCAGATAGCTATGAGGAAAGTTAAAAAAATACTTTTATCTAGTAGTTACGACGATTTTTTTTTTAAGCTGTGAAACATTAGACTAGACACACAACTTTAATTACTTCATGAATATTCCACGATTTATGTAAAGTAAAGCAACAAAAGAGGGAAAAAGACCCAGGATCAAGCGTAGCATTCATACTTTGTAAGTTTTGCTCAGCGCTCATTCCATGGCTCCCACGTACGCCATGTCCATGCTTCTTGTATGGTTCCTCTGCTGCATAATTGGTGTTCGTACAATGAGAGCTCGATCCT